AAAAATTATTAGAAAATGGATTAATTTATAAAGTCAAAAGCCCTTGGACTTCTCCCATAGTTATAGTCCTAAAGAAAAATGGCAAATTACAGCTTTACGTCAATTACAGAAAATTAAATGCTGTGACAAAAAAGAACGCTTACACTTTACCTGCATTGATGATCTGCTGGAAACTTTTGGGAAGGCCAAGTGGTTCTCCAGCCTCAACTTAGCCAGTGGATACTAGCAAATACTAATGAAATTAGAAGACCGGGAAAAACCCGTATTCGTAACAAAGTATGGCACCTATGTGTTTAACGTCATGCCATTTAGATTATGTAACGCACTTGCCACATTCCAAAGAGAAATGAATACCATTCTATATGAGACATTAACAAGTTCATAGTGGTATACTTAGATAACATAAATATATACTCAAACACTTACCAGAAACACTTTGATCACCTAAAAAAAGTATTTATCAAAATTCAGCAGGTGGGGCTCAAGTTAAATCTAGAAAAATGCCAGCTGGTTAGGGCAAATATACAATTTCTCAGCCACGTGATAGGAAGGGACGGCATCTAACCTGATAAAGAAAAATCATTAAAGTTAAGGAATTTTCAGTACTGACGAATCTAAGGCAACTGCGGGAGTTTATAAACCTTGCGTTCTACTATCGTAAATTCATTCAAGGCTTTGCAACCACAGCCAAGCCCTCACAAATTATTAGAAAAAGGCATTAGTTATGAATAGGGCCTCAGCAAGAACAAGCGTTTCAAGCGTTGAAAAGTCACTTAACTTCAGCATCGGTATTGAGGTATCCAGATTTTGAAAAAAAACTTTTTATTTCTACACAGATGCTTCTGGAGTTGCTCTCGGCACAGTATTAGCCCAAAAGGATAAGAATAAGAGAGAATATGCCATTGCATATGCTAGCAAAGGTCTAACCAGAGCTGAAAGAAATTATTCTACCACCGAATTGGAATGCTACGCAGTGGTCTGGGCGATAAAATACTTCTATTCGTATCTTGGGTACAAACACTTTATAGTCGTACTGACTATAGCACCCTAAAATAGTTACAAATAATGGCCCTGAAAGGACGTTGAGCTCGATAGATTCTGAGGCTTCAGCCTTATAATTTTACTATAATACATCGAACTGGTCAAATACATAACAATGCAGATGCTTTATCTCAAATAATGGAAGAACAGCCCTTACGTAAAAAGGATACAATTTTAGAATCTTCCCAACCAACTTCAGAAAACCAAGCCAACAGTCCAAGTGATAAAGTTGAGATTTTTCATGTAATAGCTGAAGATTATTTTGATGAAAAATTGTCAAAGAAGATGAGGCTTCATGGGTGAATATTAAAGAAACATGAGACAATATGTGGAATAGTTGGTGGAATAAAGAGGAGCTTAATCGATACCTGGAAAATAAAAGACAATGAAGGGAGTTAATTTAGCAGCTAAATGATGAATTTTATAGAGAAATGTTCCAGATAACATACAGGAAGAATTATCTAACCCAAGAACCTGGTAATAGTGAAGAAAACTATAAAATAGATATCGATGGTATCTATCTAATTGACTCACCAAAATAGACCAATGACGAGTTAAACTTTGAAAACAGCAACTATAAAACTTATGACCCGGGTTATGTTCATAATTTTTACCTAGGTTATAGTGAATGTTGGTGAAATACCAACATTGAGGAAAAAATGTTTTATAGAGCTCGAATTGACCCAAAAGACCCTGAATAGTTGCTACCCTTGGACAACAATTCATCTATAGATTGGGATTATTATATTAACCGGGAATAATAGAGTAGAAAATCAATTAAAAAACTAGAATAATTATAAAATATAGTAA